CACTGTAGAGGACCTTCCATTCGAAGGTGATGGACTTTTTAGCTCCACCACGAATGCGGTACTTCAGGAGCTTGACAAAAATATCAAGACTTCTCGCAGCTTAGGGGTTGCACCTCCTACTAAGCCGCATATAGGGAAAACATGGTCCAAACAATGGTCAGGTAGACCATTGTCTAAATCCTCCTCCGAGCCACACTGGCAAAGGTCCCCGAGTCGTCGTCCTCGTTCCTACAGTGGAAAACCCAAGTTTTCGTCTACCTCTCTATCTAGACCCAAAACTGCTAAGAACACTAAACAGAGTCTTTGACTCACACCTCCTCTCCCAACTCCCTTTGTCTCCATACCCGTCGATCTGGGAGTCCATTACGTCGGACCAGTGGGTCCTCTCAATAATAAAAATGGGATACCTAATAGAGTTTTCCCAAATCCCTTCCACCTCCCACGTCGTTGTCACACCACCTTCTACAGTCCTCCTAGAAGAGGTTCAAACTCTCCTAAGTAAGTATGCCATAGAGCCGGTATCATCAGCACAGCACGTAATGGGCTTCTACTCCCGTTACTTTATGGTGCCGAAACGGGATGGAGGCCTCCGACCCATTCTGGACCTCAGGAACCTGAACTCTTTCATCATATACAAGAAGTTCAGGATGACAACGCTACAGGCCATGCTTCCACTCCTCGAACCAGGGACATGGATGGTTACATTGGACCTCAAGGATGCTTACTTCCACGTTTCCATCCACCCTACCCACCGTCATTTCCTTCGTTTTGCGGTAGGCAACCAGCATTTCCAATCCTCCCGTTTGGAATATCCACGGCCCCTCGGGTCTTCACAAAGGTTATGGTGGCAGTGGTGGCACACCTCCGTCTAAGGGGCGTGCAGACATTTCCCTATGTAGACGATTGGTTGTTGGTAGCAGATTCAAAAGCATCCCTGCTCACCAATGTAAACCTAACATTGACAGTCCTGACGTCCTTAGGTATCCAGGTAAATCTAAAAAAGTAAATGCCACTTCCCACCAAAAGGGTGCAGTTTATAGGAGCTAGCCTAGACTCTGTCGTTTGCAAGGCTTTTCTCCCTCCTCAGAGAGCAAGGGACGTTGTCAATCTAGTGACTCTATTCTGCAAGTCTGGACATGCTACGGCAAAGCGAATCCAGCGGCTGCTGGGTCTGATGGCTACCACCATCAACGTCATTGTTTTTGCCAAACTGCATGAGAGACCTCTGCAGCTGTGGTTCATACGCAGGTTTCGCCCACAGAGTCATCCTCAATCCCTTCGTCTTGTGTTCCCACCATCCGTTTTGGGCTCTCTGTTTTGGTGGACAGATCCTGTGAATCTCCTAGCAGGAGCCCCATTCCATCCACCCATGTCAACACTCACGCTGGCTACAGATGCGTTCCTCTGGGGATGGGGCACTTATCTCAAGGGTCTTTGTGTGTGGGCTCGTTGGGAGTCCCATGTAGCATACAATAATATACATTTCCTGAAACTCCTGGCAGTGCTGTACGCACTCAGGTCTTTCCGACACCTAGTGACCGAGCAAGTGGTTACAGTTCTGATGGACAACACCACAGCCCCATGTTATATCAACAGACAGGGAGGTACGATCTCCCTGGGGGCTATGTCGCCTAGCCATAGAACTATGGGTCGAGTGTCAATCATGGAACACGTTCCTAAGGGCCGCTCATCTGCCAGGAAAACTGAACATCCAAGCAGACTTCCTGAGCAGAGGAGGGGCAGCAGAGCACGAGTGGGAGCTCATTTGGAGTTATCTTCACCCAATCTTTTGCCTTTGGGGCCATCTGGAACACGCAGCAACAGAAAATGTAGTCGCGGGGATAGATCCCCTATCTCTGGGGGATGGTCCCATGGTCATGTCTTCATGTGTTCCTTTTCCCTCCGATTCCTCTAATACCCAGGGTACTGGTTAAGTTGATGCAGGAAAAACCACGCTGTCTCTTAGTGACACCGTGGTGGCCCCAATAACATTGGTTCTCCACTCTGCTCCATCTATCCAAAGGCTCCTTTGTTCACCTTCCTCCAGCCGCAGATCTCCTTCTCACAGAGAAAGGTCGGATTCTGCATCACGATGTGAAGCGTCTCAAGCTCACAATCTGGAGGATCCTTTTCGATTGGTCAGAGACAGGATAGATCACATCCTATTGAACTGTCGCAGGCCATCTACCTGAGTTTCTTACGCTGGGAAGTGGAAGAAATTCTTGTCTTACCTTACCTCGTTAGGATTGCCACCACCACCATCTGACCTGATGGCAAACTTCGCATTCTTATTGTCTTGTTTAGACCTAGGACTCAGTTGTGCCTCGCTGAAGGTCTATTTCGCTGCAATTTCAGCCAATCACCCTATGATTGACGGTCACTCCATCTTCTCTCACCCCCAGACCAAGAAGTTTCTTAAAGGTCTGACCCACCTTTTCCCCCCATCACGTGGACCCACGCCAGTGTGGGATCTACCCATGGTGCTTGCAAGGCTTATGGACAAACCATTTGAACCGATGGCTACTTGTAGTCTACAGCTTTTGTCGTGGAAGACAGCCTTTTTAGTCGCGGTCACCTCCACTAGGAGGATGGACGAGTTATTGGCACTCCGCTGTGACCCACCTTATTTGAGTTTTCATCATAATGGGGTCACATTGGCTCCAGATGTTTCTTTCCTGCCGAAAGTTGTTTCTGAGTTTCACCTGCAAGCAGACATTGTTCTTCCAGTGTTCTTTCCATCTCCCTCAACGGAGGAAGAACGTCATTTTCATTCGTTGGATGTCAAAAGAGCTTTACTCTTTTACCTAAATCGAACACAGCCTTTTCTGAAATCTCTGGCCTTGGTTGTCTCTCATGCTCCACCTTCTCAAGGGAAGAAGCTGCCGCCCCAACGTCTATCCAAGTGGATTGTGGAGACTATTAAGTTGTGCTATATGCTAGCCAAGAAGTCGCTCCCGGTTCCGCTACGGGCACACTCTACCTGGGCAGTGGCAGCATCCACAGCCTTCCTGCGAGGTGCGTCATTGGAAGATAATCTGCAACGCAGCTACTTGGGCCATGCCTTACACATTTGTGAGGCATTATGCCCTCGATGTTCGTCTTCATCAGCGTTCAATTGTAGGACGAGCGGTGTTGCAGGCGGTGCAGATTTAGGACCTCAGCTCCCTCCTCCAGGTAGGTGGGCATTGCTTTTCAGTCTCCCAGAGGTGAGATGCACAGAGACCACGAAGAAGATAAACAGGTTGCTTACCTGTAACTGAGAATCTTCGAGTGGTCATTTGTGCATTCACACCACCCGCCCTCCTTCCCCACTGCTTTCCTTGCTTTCTTTGGAGACTGATGGCAGTGGTCAGAAGGAACTGGTGGGATTGTCATGCCCCTCCCTTGGTCATGCGCAGTGGAGCCCGGCATGTGACCGGGGAGCGGGCGCGAAAATTCCTTTTGCTTTCCATTGTACCGATCGGGGTTGGTGCAGGCGCACTATATCCCAGAGGTGTGAATGCACAGATGACCACTCAAAGATCCTCAGTTACAGGTAAGCAACCTGTTTAAATTCTTTAGATTAAAAAAAAAAATTAAGCTGCATTGAGCATCCAGAGAATACAGGCACCTTTGCTCCTTGTTCCTTGTCAGCTGAGATAGTGGAAGTCCTTAACTGTTGTCTGGAAGCAATAACGACCTTCATGAAACTCAATCCAGGTGAGGTGCTGTTTGTTGATAAGATCAATTTTTTTGTGGAGTCAGCATGTGCTGGATGAGCTGCACTCCCCCTAGAATAGCAAGTTCACAGTTTAGGAACAGATCCAGAGTTACAGAAGGCAGGGGTACAGATCTGTGGAAGGTAGCACCTTTATACAGCTTTAGACAGTTCACTACTTGGGACCAGTGTTCCCTCTAAGATGAGTTAGTGTGAGCTAGCTCACAGTATTTTACCATCCAGCTCACACATTTTTGCCTTAGCTCAGGAAGGGGTGGCTCCAGAGCAAACTAATTTATACAGCAGCCAAAGTGCTCACTCTCAACTTTAATGCCCGTAGCTCACGAAGTAGAATTTTTGCTCACAATACTCCACAGCTTAGACCACTTTTTTTATCCATGCACTGACCATACAACTCGAAGTACTCCTCATTATCGATGAAGTTCTCTACATGATCCCAGTCCAAGATACCTGACCAACTGCCTCCTCCCAGATTAACCTGCTCACTAGTTAAGACACTCCCTGCTGTGTGTGCCACTTGCTGGGAAAAGCAAGACAGAGCTTTCTTTGTAGTGGTACAGACTGTGGAACTGCTCTCCTTAGAGATACTTGCCCAGCACCAGATTTACAAATATTTAGGTGCCAGTGGGCAAAGGCATTTGTTTAAAATTACCCCAGGCTTCTTAGTATTTTATTCCCTGTCATTATTTGTTGTGAAGGTTTTATGGACATTTATGGACATTGTGCTGCTTCTATTGTGCATACTTCAGCTGCTGGTGTTTTATGGTTTTAGCCTGCTGTGAGGTTTTTATATGCTATTGGTTTGCTGTTAATTCTTTTTGCTTTGATGCCATACAGCTAATTTTTAGTGGATTATATTTATTATAAGTCTTCTTATAAACCACTTTGAATATAAATTTTCTAAATATACTGCAAAATATTGAGATGCACCTGCTGCAGATCAGGTTATAGCAGATGAAAGTCACAGCCCTTTGCATCCTTTTACCTGTATTGGTTTGAATCTGCACTTTACCTTACCCTGGGTGCAATTGATCGCCCAAATTCTATAGAGATCCTCTTACTGTTTGTCTAGAAAAGGATGGGGCCAGAGATGGAAGGGAGAGAACAAAAGATTGCTTGTTGTTAGACCTGGGTATTTTTTTTTATCAACCTATCTCTAAGGTCCTCAGATACCAGATGAATAAGGGTGACTTAAATACCCAAGACATGGGGTGATAAAGGTTAATATTGGACAGATTTGTTTCTGATTTACTCTTTACTTTTTTTAAAAAAAATACTGCAGCAGACAGAAGGAGGGGCACAGACGGATGGCCAGCAGTCACAGACACAAAGCGGTGAGAATACTGAGAGCAAGTCTACTCCGAAGCGGCTGCACGTCTCCAATATTCCATTCCGCTTTCGGGATCCTGACCTCCGGCAGATGTTTGGGGTATGTTACCTTTGTCTTTTTTTGGGGGTAGCATTGTACTGCAGATCTATATATTTGTTTGTGTTTATATCCCACCCCATCAGGAAAGTTATGAGTAACCTTTCAAACCATAAAGCACAGAATGCCCCGAACACTCATTGTCCCTAGGTGTGTCCTGTGGCAGGTGCATGACAGCCGCCTTCTCCAGGGCCGCTGATCTTTTTTTGGAAGTCTCTGTGGTCAAGCTGAAATGAACCAAAACACATCTGTGCCTCAGGTGTGTTCCACTGATAACTGGCAGTTGCCTGGGTGCACAGTCTACTCTCTCTGACTCAAGGCTGAAGATAATTTTCCCAAAGGCCAAACAAGGAGGAGCCGGATGTTGCTTATGTGTCATCAGAAGCTAGTTACTGTAATGTTTTCAATCTGAAGGATATACTTTCTGAAACTAAGTTCCTCTTTAAGATCTCATTCCTCAGTGCTACTTTAAAAAAAGAACGCCCTCCTCTCCTGTGTTTTCCATCACCACGAATTCAAGCATGTTTCAGTCATGTTTGTTTTACGTTGCCTCTGTACTTGGTGATTATTGTCCTAGGTAAGTGGGTGGATAGCATGGTTAAGAATAGAACTGTTAGGTATTGTCACAGTCCTGGGCACCCTACCCCTGGGGGAGAAGGGGCAGAGCCAAGGAAAGTGCTAGTTGGACCTGCAAGAGCAAGGGAGGAGCAGAGAGGAAGAAGGCCAACCTTGCATTCCATGAAGCCGAGGCCTCCTCTGGGGTAAAAGCCTCCTCAAGACAAAGGGCTTGCTCTTGAGTAGGATTAAGGAAGCAGGAACTAGGATTGGCTAGGGGAAGAGAGGAATAAAAGGCCCGAGCTGAAGGATGTAAGGGGGTAGCTGGCTGGAAGCTGGGAAGGAGCTATAGGCAGCCAGGCAGGGTTATAGTCTTTCCAGTTAGGGAATACTAGGCCTCCTGGATACTTAGAAGGGCCAGAGGGAAGCCAGAAGGAACTTTTCCTTCCTGAACCAGACAGACCAGCTTCCCCCTGAGTTAATCCTGCAGAAAGGGTGCGGTGGCTAGGACAGAAGCTCAAGGCACTAAGATTTGTAAAGGAGCAAGTGCCTCTGTTATATTTCTGGCACATTACTTGTCTTTGGCAGCATGGGAAGAAGATGGCATCTCCACAGGGGGATGCAGGCCTGGGGGTTTCACAGGCATGTACATGAGGATGCAGTGATGAAGCATTCTTTGAGGGTATTTTCAAGTGGGAAGATGGGTGGTGATGGTGGCTAGGAGAGGGCAGATTTTCCTTGGTTTATCATATGCTTTAGTTTTCAAGACAAGCAAGTTCCTCACTAAAGGTTTCTGGGGGAAACTAGCAATGGCAGATCCTGTTATGGCCTGGAAATGAGAAATGTAGAGCAAGAATATCTGGATTATTCTTGCAATAGGGAGGAGCAGACAGTGAGTTTTTGAGACGCCAAAGTAGGTAACTGGATGAGAGAATAGTAAAAAATGAAAAACAATCTTGGCTGCATTTGTTACTTGATGTTACACAATTTGGCGCAGGAAAAAATATCAAAAGTCGCCAAACAAGAGTAAGATGAGGATGAGGAAGAGTAACATGAGGAAGATGAACACAGCTGGATTAAAGCAGGGACCTTTCTAGCCCAGAAGTCTGCCTACCAGCAGTGGCCAATGCCACAGAGAGGTTTATATGCAAAGCATGATAGGTGAAACTCGTCCTCTGTTTTTAATTCCCAGCATCTGGCAGTGAGTAGTGCACTTTTTCTGCATGTGAAAGTTACACTTTAGTTATTTTTAACTACTAACCATGAGTAAACCTAAAAGTATTTTTCCTAGTTCTGTGGTGATAATTACTGTGGCATTGAGTTTCATAGGTTAAATATGTCTTGACTTCTGTCATTGGTGCACTCACTGATGAGGAGTTGGCAGATCACATGATGAGATTCCAGTAAAGGTGTGCCTTATTTTGCATAGCATTGTATAACCACTTAAAGACTTTATGAATTGATGGATTTATAAAATGAGAGTAGAATGTATCTTCATTTCACATCTGATAGTTCTAACATTTCAGCTCTACTTGCTCATTATGTTGACCTAAGAGCTGGCCCAGAGGTTATTCCACTTCCATGAAAGAGGACTTAATTTCATCTCTGATTTCTCTGGAAGTATGCTTTTCTAAAATTTATTTATTTATTCACACTTGTATTCTGCCCTCCCTGCAAGTGTGCTCAGGGTGGATCATATAACAGGTTATCAAGGCTTCACCTCATTGTAATGGGTCAATAAATAAATACATTAATACAATATTTAAGAACAGTTAAAACAATATAATTTAAAACAGATAGCACTAACAATTTAAGTGTACCTTCTCCAAAACTGCGGCCTTTTGTTGTTCCATTGTTGCTGGGGCTGGGACCTGTCCACCCAAGCCACCACTGTCACTTGGCATGCTGTGCGGCCGCTATGTGTCTCAGGAGGCGGTGGAGGAGGAGAACATCGGGCCGTTAGGCTGGGGATGCAGTCGAGTAGAGGAGCGGGGGCCCCTGTGCCTTGTGACCCTGACTGGCCAATGCTGGCCAGGGTACCATCCCAGGTCGAGGACCAACAGACAGGGGTGCGTACGGTGTGGAGCCAGGACCAGGTTCATCATCAAGAAAGACTATGAAGTCACGCAAAATACGGCTAAAGGTTTTGATCAGTTTGTTGTGGTCTGGTCAGGGGTTCTTCAATATATGTCAGAAAATGACATTCTTCCATCAGAGACTTCCTACATCCCTTGGGTCCGTTTTTAACTATTTGTTCATATTGAAAAGGTCAAAGAGATGCTAAAATAATACTTTGTGACTCTCTCAGGCTCAATCACAATTTTTGTTCATGAAGAGAGCTGAAATTAAACTCACTTTGGGTTGATTTTGACTGATGAGGGGGTTGCTTTGTGGGTTGTGTTGGGGTGTCTTGTTTGCTCCTTGTCTGTTCTTGGATTTTACAGTCCTGTCTTCACCTCATATCCTGCTGATTGACTGTAATGCATTTTTGTTTTTCTTTGCTGTTCTGTTGCATTTCTCTCAATACATTTTTTTTAAAAAAGAAAGACTATGAAAACATCTGGATTTCACCCCCTTTTCACCAGTGCCTCTCCTGCAGGTGTCAGGACAAGGCAAGAGGGGGACAATTTGGACTGAGGTTGAGAAGCTCCTGTTATCTGTGTCTCCAACTCTGCTGGGGATTATATTTTAATAGCTAGCCTAACTATAATAGTGGGTTGAAGAGTTGGTTCTCCCACCCTTTATAGTCTGTTATATAGTATAATCTAGAAGGTACCAAGAAGGGAGGTCAGGGTGGATAGGGCTTAGTTAGTTGGGTAGTTTAGTAGCCAGGTATTTATACTACGATACCCACGATATCTATGCTTAGAAACTCAATGTTGGGGATTTGATCTGGCTAATGAGTTAGCTATTGAAATTGGTTATAGGCTGTTTGATCGTTGTTTAGTGAGGTTAGCTGATTGGGTTATTGGTGGGGAAACAACTGATTACCATCTGTGGCATCCCAGTGGTGTATTCTATTTACCAGCTAATCCTAGGGTTGGCTGTGGCACCGTGAAGGCACTTCGAAGGCCACCTGCAAGGATGACAACTGGACCAGGGATTCCAGTGCTCATAGGGTGGGGAAGGTATAGCGGTGGGAGCAGGCAAGAAATCAAGGGAAGAAGGCGGAGAAACAGAGAAGCTCGGCCCCCTTCCAGCCTGCGTCCCATCCTGAGAGTGGCAGACAAGAGGGGCTGGGACTATGGACTCCCCTCCGACATTGGTGTTGTGCAACGCCAGGTCCATAAATAATAAGACAGCAACCCTTCGGGATTATCTGCTAGAGCAGGGCATGGATCTGGCGTGCATGACCGAGACTTGGGTGCAAGATGGGGAGACAGTAGCTCTCTCCTAGTTCGCTCCACCCAGGTTTGTGGTCCTTCACCAATCAAGGACCGAAGGGTGGGGGGGAGTGGCACTTATCATTCAAGAGGCTTACTCCTACAGGACGCTCCTGTTGTTGAAGCTTGCGGGCATTGAGTGCTCGGTCATGGTGTGGGAAGCCGGGGAGAGTTTGGCTATTTGGTTGGTGTACCGGCCGCCTAACGCATCAGCTGATAGCCTGCCATCTCTGGTTGAGTCCATGCCGATGATGTGGCCTCTGCACTGGCGATGGACCTGGTGTCATCCATAGCGGCACTAGGACTCACCCAATATGTAACGGTCCCTACTCACGAGACTGGGCATATGCTTGACTTGATATTCACGGTGAAGGTTACAGTGGACTGGATCACTGCCTCGGCAGTGCCATGGTTAGACCACCATGCCCTGAAGGCTTGTGTGAATGTGTCACTCTGACCCCATTTAGGTGGCGAGCGTATTTTGGCTCGCCTGCAAAGCCAAATGGACCCTCGGTGGTTTCAGGTGGCTCTGTGGGATCCCATGCTCCCTGGTGGCTCATTAGATGAGCTTGTCGAGGACTGGCATGGCCGGCTCTCGGCAGCCGTCGAAGAGATCGCCCCCCGACGTCCTCTGCGCCCTCACTCTAAGCGGGCTCCCTGGTTTACCAAGAAGCTGCGGCAAATGAAACAAGGGCTCAGACGACTAGAGAAACAGTGGTGGCGCGCTCACGACAAAGTATCAAGAGCATCCTATAGGACGTTTATGAGATCCTATGAGATGGCAGTCAAAGCCGCGAAGAGATTTCTACATGGCTGCGGTTGCGTCTGCTAGCTCACGCCCAGTGCAATTATTTAGAACTATTCAGTCAGTAACAGAGCTGCCACAGGGCAGGCCAAACAATAGGGAATTGGGTATTGGCTGTGTGACTTTTGTGAGCTATTTTGCAGATAAAGTCCTGCTACTCCACCATGATCTCCTGACCACAGTTGACACAGTGAGCAAACTCAAGGCCCCATGCACATCTTCTGGTTCTATTCTGGATTATTTCAGTTCACTCAGGCTTG